AGCGCATAGTTATATATGCATAGACTACTTTGCCTGCAATAGTATGAGGTTCACTGACCTCAAGTTAAGATTCCATTGCCATGGACATGAGAGAAGTAGAAAAAGAAAGTTCTGGAATGGAGCTTCTTTCCAAAATTCTTTGAGGCTTATCTCCATGGTGATTGTTTCAAATATCAAGTTCTAGGGCCACACTTTCATAAGACGAACCTTGGGATTCAATGATTTTTTCCATTATTTTTAACTTCTCTTGCAGCGGTTCTCACCTTAGTTCTACGTTAGAATCACACATGGACATTTTGAAAAGCCCCAATACCCAAACCACCCCCTAGATCAATTAAGTCATTATCTGGAGGATGTGACCAAGGCATCAGTAACGTTTAAATCTCCCCAGATGATTTGAGTGTTGAGAAACACAGCTCTACTGCCTCTTTTTAATTAAGAAAATAATTCAGCGGATCTGGGCCTTCCAGCCCCCTTCAAATCCCCGTCTTTCTTGAACTCCTGAACCCTTTAAACAAATCTTTTCTGTGTGGGGCATGCCATATTTCTCTTTAAAGTAAAACTGGCTTTCATCTCCTGTTACTATGTCACAAAGAAGTGTATTGTTCAACTACCACTTAAGAAAGACTTCGTTTAACTCAGAGCTTATGATAGGGAGAAAAAGCAGCAGAAGGAAAAGCAAAAGCTGCTCGGGATTATTCAGCCGCATCCAATCTCATGAGTATACTCTACCAAAAGAGCCGAAGCCAGAGAGGAGGTGGTGGCAAAAATAAATAAATAACTAAAGATGATTTTGAAGAGGTAGATGACTCAATGAAATCTGCATAAGTGGAGAAGTCCAGAGAGACGAGGCAGAAACATCTAAGGAGTCAAGTTCCTTGCGTTGTAGGAGGTAAAGATCGAATAGGTGGGCTTTGAGCAGGCCCGAGATCAATTCTTTTTTCCAGTAGTGTGTCATCATTTTAGAGCTAGAAGAGACCACTGAGATACACTAGTCCTCTTTCTCCAGTCCTCTTTCTCCCTGCCCCAACCAGCTGAGGCCAGACAGAGACATCAGCAACCTGAAAAGGCAACCCAGGTTGGTGATATCTTTGAGGTCTCCGTTGGTTGGGGTAGGGATAGGGGCAGGCATAGCTAGGTCCCCTGAATGTAGAGTGTTCTCCCACCTTCCATGATACAGGGCTGACAGAGGCTCCCAAGACTCTCTAGGTGACACTAGGTGAGCAGAGAAAGCTAACAGAACATACTAATAAGCTGAGCCTTTTTTTTTTTTTTTTTGTCTAAACCTAGACTCTTTTAAGGGTAAAGGAGGTGTCTTAGTCCATTGGGATGCTGTAACAAAATACCATAAGCTGGGCAGCTTATATGCAACAGAAATTTACTTCTCACAGTTCTGGATGCTGGGAAGTCCAAGATCAAGCACTGGCCAATGCCTACTTTCAGGCTTATAGATGGCACCTTCTGTGTCCTCATATGTGGAAAGGGGCTAGCTAGCTCTCAGGGGTTTCTTTCATAAGGGCGCTAATCCCATTGATGAGAGCTCTACCCTCCTGACCTAATCATCTCCCCATGGCCTTACCTTACAATACCATCATCTTGAAGGTTAGCATTTCAGCATATGAATTTGGTTCTGGGTTGGGGGCAGGGAAGGGACACAAACATTCGGATCATCTCAGGAGACAACAATTAAACCCAGACTTCTCTCTAAAATCTATTTGCTATCTTTGTTCATTTTTTTTTCTTTTTTTTTTAAGCTCCATGTTACATATGTTGACATTTGATCTTTCTTCATTTTTACATAATCTGTCACCTTATTGATACTTCTACCATCAGTATTACCTCTATGAAAGAAGAGTGGCTCTTAGTAGATTTACAGTGACTGTCAACTCACCTGTGGGTTCTTCCAGTGGAGAAGTCTGAGCTGTCAATCAAAAGAAACGTTTCCTGGTTCTGACTCCTGTTACTTCCCTCTCCTTTTCCTTGCTTTCATCTGGATCCAAGCATTCCTGTAGAGCAGCCCCGTGGACTTCTGGGAGACAGGCTTCACAAACATACCTGCAGGGGTAGTAAGGTCTCAGGTGTGTGTGTTCTGCCCCGTCTCTTCTTCCTTCCAGTGGAGAGTTTTTGCCTGTGAACCCTCCATTCTGCCTGGGGCCTCTCTGAGCTGACTTCCCTCTTTCCCAGACAAGCAGAGTTGCTTCCCAGGTGAGCACAATATTTCTCCTTTCCTCAGTAGATTTTTTTCCTTGTTGACACGGCAGTGCTTTGATTTCTGTGACTTTTTTGCTTGTTAAAAGACAGGCCTGTCCTCTTTTCATAGAGGCCACAGTTTAGTTCAGACTGGATTTAGAATCCACCAAATGTTGATCACCAGCAACTATAGCACCTCTAGTCAGTTTTCTGGAGGTGCTGTTTTGAAGTACTTGTGTTAACTATGTACTCTTCTGGAACCTTCTAAGAACAGAGTATCATTTATTTCTTTTCTTTTCTTTTCTTTTATTGAGCCAGGGTCTTGCTTTGTCACTCAGACTAGAATGCAGTGGTGCAGTGATGACTCACTGCAGACTCGACCTCCTGAGCTCACGAAGTCTTCCCACCTCAGCCTGTAAAGTAGCTGGGACTACAGGTGCATGCCACCACACCCAGCTAATATTTGCATTTTTTGTATAGATTGGGGTCTCACTTTGTTGCCCAGGCTGGTCTCAAACACCAGGGCTCAAGTGATCTGCCTGCCTCTGCCTCCCAAAGTGCTGGGATTCCAGCTGTAAGCCACCACACCTGGCCTAAGTAGCATTTTCTTAAATGAGAGAAATGCTGTTTTCAGATGGGCTAGTTACAAATTGCTCCTGTACCACCTGGTTTTTTTCCCCAGGGAGTGCAAGGGAGTTACCAGACTCCAAGATACTTGGTAAGCCTTTTTATGATCCTTCTGATATAAAGTGAATTTCTGCTACAAAACTCTTGAGATTGTGGCTTTGGCGACTTCATTTCCAAATCAGAATAGGCACCAATCAGGAACAAGATTCAATTAAGATTACGCGATCCCTGTGACATTTATATATATTTCAGTTACCAATACTTTCTATTCACTCAAGTGATTGCTGCTTCATCTTCAGCTCTCCTAACCTGACAGCTGACTAATGCAATCATGTGAGTTCTTTGTGGCTTACCGACCATTGGCGCTCCTCAGTCTGCTGTCACTGTAGGCTCTTGTGATATGGAAGTACCTTACGCCCATTTATTCTTGGACATGTCCGTACTTGAGCTACAGCACTGTCTCCCGGACTTCGGTGGAATGTTACTGCCTTATCATGTGGTCTTGATGTGTATTAGCCTCCCACCTTGGACACAAGGCAGTATTTTCTCCTGGATAACTTGCTTGAGGCCATGAAGCCTGCTGTGATAAAAGAGGTTACATTATGGAAGTGGGTGCCCCTGTCAGAGGGAAGTCTTAGGTTTGGAAAGAACTCTGGCAGGAACCTAGGTGGGATACTGTACAGAATCCTCATGTGACCTTCAAAAAAAAAATCATACATTTTCCCTTCTGCAACTTGGTAGGGACTGAGAACTTTGCTGTGGTGGAGGAGGTTAGATTGCGGAGGTGGGTGCTTCAAATAGCATTTGCAAGGTGATGTCTCATCTAATTTCCCTTGCTGAGAGCAACTTGAAGTCTAACTTTTGTTAGAGCTTTATTGCCTTTCAAATTAAGAGGTTATTACATTTAAATTTTATTGCAAAGCTACCAACATACCATGTCAGAGAGGTTTTTGCAGATCTGTGAGGCGTAAGCTGGATTTGATTCATTAAGCTTTCAGTTTTCTCTAAGGCTGTGTTCAAGTGTTTGTGGAAACATTCATAACCTTTTTAGGGCGGGGCTGGGGGAGTCTGTTCTAAAGAGGAAGGTACAGTAAAGTCATACTAAGACATCTGGGGACCTCGTGGGCGAGTTTGCATATTTCACCCCTAAGGAGTTTTTACTTTGCCAGTTATCGTTTCTTTTTTAAAATGTGTTCAAGGATACATCTTCTGGATCAGAGCACAGTACAAAGATAAACAGTATGGAATAAGCAGCTTGGTGGGATAATGCAAGAAGCATTAGGTTGAGTGGATTGAGAGCCAAAGACTGGCTCCCAGCTCCCAGCCTCGGCCCCGTGTAGCTGAATGAACTGCATGCAAGCTACCAGCCTTTAATAACAAATGCCTTAATCTCTTAAAACCCCCGTTTCCTCATTTCTCTTATGAAGGTCTTTGAGATTATGCACATGACAAAGTCAATTGACTGGCCGAATGCAGAATATTACTGTTGGTTTTGTTATAATAATATTCGCAACCTGAATAATGGTAAAAATGGAAGTGGGCAGGGCTTTGGCTCACTCCAAAATTTGGAAGGTGAACTGAGGAAGATCTGCATTGACATCCCTTTCCCCTGTATGTCCAGGGGCTTCCAGTGCTCAAGGCAGCCTCCATCAGTGTTGGGCCAGGCTTGGCGTTCCCATGTGCTGTGGCTGACATAGGCCTTTGTGAAGTGTATGCCAATATCAAAGGCTAATTCCCAGATGGCTAAGTGGCCACTGAATTTTTGTTGCTCTTAGGGGTCTAGAAGCAACATGGACTGGACTTGGACATGATGGAACTGGATGCGGTAATCCATATGAAAGAACTCATAGATTCTTGAGTTTATCAGACCCAATAGCTAGTGCAAAACTGATGAACAGAAGGTCAGGCAGAGGCACATCATAGAATCTAGTATTGAGGATTGAATGCCCCATAGCTAAGACTGTGTGTACATAAAGCACTGGGGCTCCTGGAAGTATTGTCTCATCAGTGTTGTCAATGAGTCCAGTGGAATAATGAAGGACAGTGCAGAATCTCCAGGCATGGGGCATTGGGAGAGCTATTAGCACTGAAGAACTGCCCATGACTTGCCACAGAATGCCCTGAGCTAGACATAAGTGAATAATGGCAAGAAACAATAAACCTAATGTAATGGATGTCCAAAATGAGGTCACAGCACAGAAACAATAGCTTAAGTAAGTCCCAAAGTGCATTATCAAGCCTCGGGAAGAGCTATGGGCTGACTTCTGGGGGAAATATGGGAGCAAATACTAGCTGACAGTACAGTTAGAAATGCAAGGAACAACCTGCAGCATTTCCAAATAGATCTTTATTGCCACTCAAAAGCAACCTTTATTTGAAAGCATAGATTTGTTTTGATGTTGGTTGGTTGGTCTTCATTCATGACTACACATATTCTAACATCACAATTTCACCATCTCAGTAGGAAAAAGGTTCACAACCAATGTACAGGCATATTTCAGGGAACATCCTAAAATTGAAATTTTAAAATAAAACAGTCAGAGTTATCATGGAAGGAAGGTCATCGTAAGTGGAACGTGTCAATGAGAGGAAATGCTTTATGGTAAAAATACACTGATTAGAGAGGAAGGCTGAGTATAACTGTGGGCAGAGATTTACAAATGTGGAAATCAATGAATCCACAGGCGGTAATGTGCTGGTAAATGTTCGATAACCAGATTTCTGGGAGTGTGGGGGAGCCCTAATTTCTAGCCTTTGTTGATTTCTGAGGTATCAGTATTCCCATGGTAACCAATTTCCACCGTACAGATACAATAGACGTGACTAACCCCAAGAGCATAGATAATAGTAAAATATAGTAAAATAATTAGGAAGTGATGGGTTTTGAATATTTGTTACCTTTGTTTATAATATAATTTAATTATAACGTTATATAATTTTTAATTAATGGTCTGTTTTTAACAACCAACTCACAAAATTCCTAAAAATGTGACAGTCATCTCTTTTGAGCTAGTATGAACTAGCTCCAGCACACCACTGACTATCAGTAAAGGGACATCGGAGCATCTTTAGGGAAAGATGAGAAAGGGACCAGACGCAGTGGCTCATCCTAAATATTAGATTCTATGATGTGCCTCTCAAGCAATCTACTTGCCTCAGCCTCCTAAGTCGCTTGAGTTCAAGAGGTCAAGACCAGCCTGGGCAACATGGTGAAAACTTATCTCTACCAGAAATACAAAACAATTAGCTGGGCATGGTGGTGCTGGCCTGTGGTCTCAGCTACTCAGAGGCTGAGATAGGAAGAGAGGTTGAGCCTAAGAGGCAGAGGTGGCAGTGAGCTGATACTGCACCACTGCACTCCAGCCTGGGTGACAGAGTGACACTCTGTCTCAAAAAGAGATAAAAAAGAGAGAGAAAGGAATAGCCGTGAAATGTTTTGTTACTTATGAGGAAAAGATAAAGGTGAATTTAGATTTTTTTCATGTATGTTAATACATAACTGTAGAATGATTTTACTCAGATAATGCTCATTACTGATCATCTTTTGTCCCATAGGCATGAGAAATGCTTTGTATTACAGCTCATCTGCCACAGATTTACCATGCACATTAAAAAATCGTATAATGAAGAATGTTTTACACCTAGTGTTGCCCAACTTTTCGACTGTAAAACTTTTTGTCCCCCACAGAATACTTAATATCTCATGGCAAATAGATCAAGAAAATGCTCGGTGGATTACCTGTCTAAGTATCCTGTCCCTCAACCTTTGTTATTAATGACTTCAGACACTTTATAGTGTGTTGATCAAATATTTCGTACCATAGAAGACAGGCTAAGTCAGTGATTCTCAAATTTGACCACACATCAGATACCTCTGGAAGCTTCTTAAAAGACCTATTGAGGGCCGAGTATGGTGGCTCACACCTGTAATTCCAGCACTTTGGGAGGCCAAGGCAGCAGATCACCTGAGGTCAGGAGTTCAAGATCAGCCTGACCAACATGGAGAAACCTGGTCTCTATTAAAAATACAAAATTGCTAGGCATGGTGGCACTTGGCTGTAATCCCAGCTACTCAGGAGGCTGAAGCAGGAGAATTGCTTTAACCTGGGAGATGGAAGTTGCAGTGAGCCGAGATCACACCATTGCGCTCCAGCCTGGGCAATGAGAGAAATCCTGTGTCAAAAAACAAACAAAAAACAAGACCCACTGAATTAGAATCTTCAGAGTTGGGGCCTAGGAAGATCTCTCTTTAAAATGTTCTTCTCATCTTTCAACTGTGAACATAAAATAAAATCTTCAAAAAAAGTTCTTTCCATCAGACAAAGTTCTACCCACAAGATTTTTGGCAATACTTTTCCTAGTAACTCATCAATGTGCTTTGAAAGAGTACAAATTGATTGATTATTGATTGAGAAAGAGTCTTGCTCGGGAGTCCAGGCTGGAGAGCAGCAGTGCAATGACAGCTTACTACAGCCTTTCCTCCCTGGTTCAAACTACCCTCCCACCTCAGCCTCCTAAGTAGCTGGAGCTAAAGGCATATATTACCATGCTAATTTTAGAACAAATTTTGTAGAGATGAGGTCTCCCTATGTTGTTCTGGTTGGTCTTGAACTCCTGGGCTCAAGAGATCCTCCTACCTCAGCTTCCCAAGTTGCTGAGATTACAGGCATGTGCCACCGCACTTGACTGAGTGTAAATTTGTGAGCATGTAGTGTGACTGTTATTAAGTTGTGAATTCAGGAGATTTTACGTGTAAGAACTTATCAATATTTTAAGATTATATGTTTGAAAATCTCTTTTAAATAATATATTTTTTAAAATTTTTTCATAGAGACAGGGGTCACTATATTGTCCAAACTGGTTTTGAACTCCTGGGCTCAAGTGATTCTCCTGCCTCGGCCTCCTAAAGCGCTGCAATTACAGGCACGAGCCACCAAGCTCAGCCAGAAATCCTCTGTCAAAAAACGTTTTGCCACTAAATTCTAAACTGAAGTCCTCAATTCTCTAGGAATAATTACAACTACATGGCTTTTTAGATATTCTGTACAAATTGTTTTTATTGAATAATAAAAAATAAAATTTCAATCATGAAGGAAATAGTTAATACAGAATAACATAAAACCTTATATGTGTTTGTTCAAATATTTACCAAATTCCTACCATGTTCTAGGGACTATGTATCAATTTTTTTTTTAAATGAGCTATTGGGAAAAAGATTAGAGAGACGTGTGTTAACATTTGTGCATGGAAAAAGGCTCAGATCACAATACAAGGAGCTACAGCCTGGGTGATTGTCAAATCCAAGGAAGTCTGGTTTGCAGAAGAGAACAGGTGACAGTTTCACTGAGGTGTAACTGTATAATCATCAGTCCTGAATCATCATATTTAGTTGTGGGCATCACTATTCGAGGCATTCAGAATAAGTACACTGTATGTAGAGGTTATGCCCAAGATGATATGCAGAGATTAAAGATGGACTGATAAAGAAGCTTTGAAGAAGCTCATTGGTTATTGTGGAAAAGAGAAAACTTGGGAGATGTAGTTATATTCCAAGATCTAAATGACCTTCATGTTCACGTTGAAGAGGGCTTAAGTGGGAGAGCCAGGGTCTGAAGTATAAAGTTGCAGTGAACACTCATACCATGATATTCAAGGTATTCATTTCAATACAACGTACAATGTAAGGCAGAATTACCTCGTGATTATAGCTCTCTACAAATAGAACGCGTCTTAGTTCTCAGTTACTTGGAAGTCTTAAGCCGAGGCTGAATGAGCACTGAAGGACATGTTACATAAGGAATTTAAGTATCCATTATGAGAATTGGGTTACTTAATGCCTGAACTTCCTCCCAACCTTAAGCCTGTGTGTTTCTGCTATCCATGCATGAAACACACACTTGTGTCATGGCTAAAAAACGCAAATGTCACCTAAAACATCTGCAGCCTGAGCCTGCTGTGATGGCTCATGCCTATAATCCCAGCACTTTGAGAGGCCAAAGCAGTGGATTGCGTGAGCTCAGGAGTTTGAGACCAGTCTAGGCAACACAGTGAAATCCCGTATTTATCAAAAATACAGCCAGGCATGGTGGCTCACACCTGTAACCCCAGCACTGTGGGAGGCCGAGGTGGGCAGATCATGAGGTCAGGAGTTCAAGACCAGCCTGGCCAACATGGTGAAAAACCATCTCTACTCATGATACAAAAAAATAGTGGAGCGTGGTGGTGCACACCTGTAATCCCAGCTACTGGGAGGCTGAGGCAGGAAAATCACTTGAACTGGGGAGGTGGAGGTTGCAGTGAGCTGAGATTGCATCATTGCACTCCAGCCTGGGCAATAGGGTGAGACTCTGTCTCAAAAATAAAAGAAAAAAATTAGCTGGGGTGTGGTAGTACACACCTGTGGTCCCAGCTACATGGGAGGCTGAGAAGAAAGGATCACTTTGGCCTGGGAGGTCAAGGCTGCAGTGAGCCATGATTGTGCCACTGCACTCCAGCCTGGGGGACAGAGTGAGATCCTGCCTCAACAACAACAACGACAAATCTGCAGCATGGATGTACACTGATTCTTCAAACAAATAGGCTATTTGGATAATAGTTTATATTATAGGACATTTCTGATCATTCCATAAGCCATAGTGAAAATACGTTCAGGGATAATGTTTAATTTCACAAAGTTTGCATTTTATACCAAAGAGATATACTTACAGGATGTACCTGCTACAAAAGTATAACACAACATTTGCGGTAGCAATTCACAAACAGAAGGTAATTACATGAACTTACCAATGTTGCCTTCATCTTTAAATATACACACTTAGAAGACAAAGACAAAATGTTTCTCTATTTTATACTGAAACCATGGATTAAGTCACATCTGTTCATACAGTTATAATGGACTACAACTGTCACTTTAAGGTAGAAAATTGGTAGCATACATGTTATCAAGCTTTAATACCAGCATTAGAATAGACTTTTATAATTAAGTTTATTCTTTCCCTTCAATATATGTTTATTATGAAACATTTAGAGGAATTCCAGTGTCAAAGGTGAATAAATTACCCATTGCGTCATCGTCCAGAGACATTACTGAGAATACCTTGGTGCATTTCCTTCCTGTCTCTTTCAGCTGTACGTATTTTGTGTTTGTTTGTTGTACATACTTATGACCATATTGTATCTATATTTCATACCCTGCTTCTAAGGCACAAGCAATGTCCTCTGTTTTAACAAATGTTTGATTACATAGTAATCCACCTGGTAGATTCACTATCGTTTTTGTGTTTACAGTGTAGGATATCTGAGTTCTCTTATAGTGAGTTCTATACTTTGAATATTGTGGTATGAATTGTCTTTATTGTCTAGACTCTGCAGAGTTTTAGGAAACTGACTTCCAGGCCAAATGTATAGCTATTAAAAAAGTAGGCCAAATACAATGGTTCACACCTGTAATTCTAGCACTTTGGGAGGCTGAGGCTGGTGTATCACTTCAGGCCAGATGTTCAAGATTAGCCTGGCCAACATGGCGAACCCCATCTCTACTAAAAATACAAAAATTAGCCAGGTGTGTTGTCACATGCCTATAATCCCAGCTACTTGGGAGGCAGAGGTAGGAGAATCGCTTGAACCCTGGAGGCGGAGGTTGTAGTAAGCCAAGATTGCACCTCTGTACTGGTCAGCAGAGTGAAACTCCAACTCAAAAAAAAAAAAGTATGTTAAAAACTGACAGCTGCTTGTATCTTTCCCTGTAGAGCCCTTGCAATTGCTTTAGGTCAGATGGCATAGCTATGGTGGGTTTGCCAAAATTCTAAACCATAATCATTTTTAATCAGGGACCTCTCCTCTTACCCTTGTGTTCATGGACTTTCCTGGACACCCCTCGGTCTAACCACCTAGAAGAGAAAAGAAGCTGAAAAGAGCCAATTCTCATTTACTGTGTGTGTAGGGGGGAAGGGGGCTGGTGTTCATCTCGACTCCAAACATGCTTCATCAAGGAAAAGGGTAACTTTAAAATGTTTGTCCTTTAATCATTTAGTGTACTTTAAAAAGCTAGTTTGCAGTAACCCATGGCTAGGTCCTGTTGGCTTCCTCCTGCTGGTGAGATTGTGAGTACCTTTAGTACCTCTCAGCTCAGATCCAAAGCAGAACACTTCCAAGACAAACAGACTGCCTAGAACCTTACCAGGAAACTCCAGAGGGAGTTTTCCACCTGTTTGTGCCTGAGCTGAACTCAGTTCTGCAGGAAACTATAGTTTGTACATCTTATATGTGGCCAGGTGTTGAAGTTCTGGCTAGAGGCTCACGCTAAAGAAAACTTGGATGATAGCATGTGGATTAGGGAATGGTGTCCTATGGGATCCTCTTGGATAGGATGTATTTGGGAGACAAAGGACCAGGTGGAAGTAGTTGGGATGAATCTATCTGTAAGCTACTTACATATTTAACCAACTGTTGCCTGACAAATGTAGATCAGGATAACTGAGATCATTGTGAAACACCTTTCTTCCAGAGTTAAGGGTGAGTGACAGCATTCATGATATGGCAAGCATTGACTTCTTGACTCTTCAATGCTTGCCATATCATGAATGGTTTTAAGCCAGAGAGATTTATTCATTCATGCATTAATTCCACAAATTATGTGGCTGGTGTATGGCCATGAATTACATACTTCCTATGCTCAAATAACTCAGTGTAGTAACAGACAAATATTTAGATAATTTAAGCATAGTCTATAAAGACAGAAGTGCATTGGATTTTATGAGAATATTGAGTAAGGATGCCCAGCCCAGCTTAAGGTGGGTAGGAAATGGGGAACAATGTCAGAGAAACCTTCCTGAAGGATGTTACATCTGAATTGGTTTTGAAAGAACAGTAGTTTGACTGGCTGAGAAAGGAAGAAGGACGGGTGTGTGGGAGTGTTCGGGTAGGGATGGCAGGGTGTGTGGGAGTGGTGGGATGGGGGTAGCAGGGTATTTGGGACTGTTAGGACAGGGGTGGCAGGTGAGTGGATGGTGATGTTCAGGAAACAGACAGCATCAACCATGGTATGGAGGGGATATGGAATCAAGACTTGTGCTGGGGTTGGGCACAGTGGCTAATGCCTGTAATCCCAGCAGTTTGGGAGGCCAAGGTGGGTGGATCACAAGGTCAAGAGATCAAGACCATCCTGGCCAATATGGTGAAACCTCATCTCTCCTAAAAATACAAAAATTAGCTGGGTGTGGTGGCAGACACTTGTAGTCCCAGCTACTTGGGAGGCAGAAGCAGGAGAATCACTTGAACCTGGGAGGTAGAGGTTACAGTGAGCCAAAATCATGCCACTTCTCTCCAACCTGGTGAGAGTGTGAGACTCTGTCGCAAAAAAAAAGACTTGTGCCTGGAAGCACTATGTTTGAAATGCTAAATGGGCATCTGGAAATGTCACACAGGTAAGTAGAGGTGTGTGTCTGCAGTTTCAGGGTGAGGACACAGCTGGAAGATCTAAATTTAGCAGTCCCTGGTATATACATGGTACTATATGGTATTTACATGCGTGAGACTAAACGAAGTTGCTCGAAGAATGCGTAGTTACATAAGGGACCCCAGTACGGAGGCTGGGGAGACAGAACTAGTATTTATTTATTTGTTTGTTTGTTTGTTTATTTATTTAGAGATGGGGTTTTGCTCTGCTGTCCAGGCTGGAGTGCAGTAGCATGATCATGGCTCACTGCAGCCTCGACCTCCTGGTCTCAGGTGATACAGGTAGCTGGGACTACAGGCACATGCCACCACACCCAGCTAATTATATATATACATAATAGAGACAGGGTCTCCTTTTGTTGCCCTGGCTAGTCTCAAAATCCTGGGTTCAAGTGATCCTCCTACCTCAGATTCCCGAAGTGTTGGGATTACAGGTGTGAGCTACTAGGCTCGGACACCACTCTAATATTTAGAGGGTAGTCTAGAAGGAGGAGCCAGCAAAAGAAACCACAAGGAATGGCTAGACAGGTGGGTGGCTTGAGTGGAGTGGGGGGTGACCATTAAAGTGTCAAGGGAAAAAAATAGAGTCTCAAGAAGGAGGGATTGATGGATGATTTCGAATGGTGTTGGGAAATAGAGAAAAATTAAAACAGAGATGTGACTATTGAATTTGGTAACACAGAGATCGTTAATGACCTTGACAGAGGCCATTTCAGTGCAGTGGTAAGTGGGGAGGAAGGTGGAGCCGTGTGTGGTAAGCACATGCCTGTAGTCCCATCTTCTAGGGAGGCTGAGACAGGAAGATCGCTTAAGCGCAGAAGTTTGAGGCTGCAGTAAGCTATGATCATGCCATTGCATTCCAGCCTGGGTGACAGAGCAAGACTCTGTCTTTTTTTTTTTTTTTTTGAGACGGAGTCTTGCTCTGTTGCCTACGCTGTAGTGCAATGGTGTGATCTCCGCTTACTGCAACCTCTGCCTCCCGGGTTCAAGCAATTCTTCTGCATCAGCCTCCCAATTAGCTGGAACTACAGGCATGTGCCACCATGCCCAGGTAATTTTTTGTGTTTTTAGTAGAGACGGGGTTTCACCATGTTAGCCAGGATGGTCTCGATCTCCAGACCTCATGATCTGCCCACCTTGGCCTCCCAAAGTGCTAAGATTACAGGTGTGAGCCATTGCACCTGGCCAAGACCAACACTCTCTTTAATAGAAAAAAAAAAATTTTTTTTTTAAGAGGAAGATAGGCAGTGAGATGGACAAGAGCAACCCTTGACTGTGGCTCCTCTTTCTAAGGGCCATTCTGATGAAACAGAGGTGGTTTATGATCCTCTGACAGGGCTACCCAGTGCCTAAAAAGAACCAGATCACTTACACCAGGGTGCCAGGGCACACTGGCCCTTGATTATCAGGGCCATGTCAGCCCATTCCACAGGCATGTAGTACCCTCGAGGCTCCAAATCACGTTCTGAAAACAGCACCTGGAGAGTCTAGGATAGAACCACCAAAGAAGGGTTGAGCCAACGAAAAGGAAAATAACTGAAGGCATATCCAGAGAAATACATTTATGAAAATACCAAAATTGAAGAAAATACATCATACAGTGCATTAAAGCTTTGTACCTGTTATATAGGTAGTCAAAAGATGACAGATAAAGGGTGGATTTTTGGTTTTGGCTAATTCATTTTGTACTTGTTATACAGGTAACCAAAAGATGACAGATAAAGGGTGGATTTTTGGTTTTGGTTAATTTATTCAGTTAATTCATTGGTTAATTCATTTCATGCAGGAATGGAGGAATGATCATGCAGTAGTGCAGTTGTACCTTTGGAGGAATTTCAGGTATTGTGTTACAGTTCCACTGTTTTAGAAATCAAGAATATGGTAGAAAGTGGAGATGGTGGGGGCTGGGCGCAGTGGCTCATGCCTGTAATCCTAGCACTTTGGGAGGCTGAGGCAGGTGAATCATGAGGTCAGGAGATGAGATCATCCTGCCTAACACAGTGAAACACCGTCTCTACTAAAAATACATAAAATTAGCTGGTTATGGTGGCGTGTGCCTGTAGTCCCAGCTACTAGGGAGGCTGAGGCATGAGAATCCCTTGAACCGGGGAGGCGTAGGTTGCAGTGAACTGAGATGGCGCCACTGCACTCCAGCCTGGGTGACACAGCGAGGCTCTGTCTCAAAAAAAAAAAGCGGCAATGGTGGAGAGGATGTATAAATACCTTAAACTCCCCCTTCTTGGTCTCCAAACGCCTTTCTCACTCCATTCAGCCTTAGGCCAAATTCTGGATGCTTTTGCAGGTGGTCTTCATGTGTAAAATGTGCATATCTATCTCCTAGGAGTATTGTGGAGATGGAATGAGATATGTAAAGTGTGCCGTATATAGCAACTGCATCATTAGAGCATCTTTCAGCAGAAGTGCACATCCCCTCTTAGCTGATGACTGGCATTTCCTGTTCATTTTTTTCCTTCTACCTCTTAACCTTACTGACGATGCTTTCAATACAAATCTAATAATAACGGCAACTAACATTTATCATGTGCTCAAATTAAGTCATTTCATCTCGCCAACAATCCTATCAGGTAGGACTGTCATCTTCATCTGCTGAGCCTTGGAATCACATTAGACAGCCTGGCTTCAGAGCCCAGCTTTTTTTTTTGGTTTGGTTTAGATTTGAAAGGAATGCATTCTGTCGCCCAGGCTGACAGCTCACTGCAGTCTTGACCTGCTGGGCTCAAGCAGTTCTCCCACCGCAGCCTCCTGGTAGCTGAAACTATAGGCACGCCATCATACCTGGCTAATTAAAAAAAAAAAAAAAAAATTATTTCTTTTTTTGGTAGAGATGGGTCTCCCTATGTTCTCCAGGCTGAACTTGGAACTCCTGGCCTCAAGTGATCCTCCCGCCTCTGGCTTCCAAAGTGCTGGCACTACAGGCCTGAGCCACCGCGCCCCACCCTGAGCCCAGCTCTTAAGCACGGATTCCACCATTGTTTATTTAGCTGGAGAGACCCAAGCTACTTCTCGGGCCATACCCTTCTCATCGCAAACTCAGGTTTCTGTTAGAAACCACCCTTAGTGGCCGCAGTGCCCAGGACTCCCGTCTTGGTTCCTGGGGCCCACGCGAAGGTCATTTAATTCACCCAGATGGAACCAGCCCAAGCGTGTCCCTCTGAACCCCGTGAACTTTCATCCCGGCTGAGCAGCGAGTCTGCACTGCTGTCCCTTCCTTTGTGGAGTCAGGGCTGGCGCAAAGCGACACTTTCCTAAGTAGCAATACGGGTATTCTCAAAAAAGGCACAAGACCCCAAGAATTCCTGCAGACGAGCACGTTAACTGGACAGCTGAGCCCGCCCCAGAGCCCCGGCGCTAGCGCGAGGGGCTGGGACACCGCGAGGCGCAGACAGCCGCGGCCCGGCGCAGGAGGAACGGGCAGAGGGGGCGCCACCGCGAGACGCGGGCGCGTCACAGGCCGCACCGGCCAGGACGCGGAGGGCGGGGCAAGAGCGCAGCAGGAAGGGGGCGTGGTCAGGAGCCCGCCCGGCCTCTCCCCCGCCCCTCCCCCTCTGCTCTCCGCCCAGCCCGGCGGCTCCGCCCCCTTGGTGACGTCACTGACCAGGCCAGCCGGCGCCATTTTGAAAGTGGAGTCGCCTGCCCCTGCCGCTGCCGCCGCCGCCGTCGCTGTCGTAGCCGCCGCCGCCGCTGCCGGAGAAAGAGCACGAGCGGGAAAGCCCTAGAGTGAAATCTAGCATCCTGCCGGCTGCTCTGCCCGCCCCTCCTTCCTTTTCCCCCAGCCCCTGTCCCCTCCCCCCGCAGGTGCCATCCGCCGCCATCCGCCCTCTCTACCCCCCCATCCCCAGGTGAGGGGGGTGAGTTCAGGAAGCGGAGACCCCGAGGAACCCCGCAGGGTCACCATTTGCAGCGCAACATGGCAGGTAAAGGAGAAATTCCCCTTGCCCCCTGACAAGGCACCGTTTCCTTCTTCCTCCCTCCATCACCCCCTAGCGACCGCCCGCGCCTTGCGCGGAGCCATGGGGCGCCCCTCGGGTTTGAGGGAGTGGGGTCCAGGGGGGTGGGGTGGAGGCGGGGAGGACTCCGGGGAGGCGAGTGGTCGCGGCGAGAGCCACTGGGCTTGGAGAACGGAGCTGGCGCCGTGGCGGGGGTGGGGGTGGGGTGTGCCGGCGAGCTTGGGGTGAGGCGTGGGTGGGGCGGGGTGGGGGCGCGTGCAGATTTGTCTCTCCCGCTCGGGAGCCGGGTGGATCCTCTCCTACCTCGCCCCCCGTCTTTATTTTCATTTTATCCTGCAGGTCTTCATTTAATTTCTATTTCCCCCCCTGCTGCAAACCTTCTTGGGTGTATATACACATTATTTTGCACTGAGAAAGAAGAGCGCCTTACAAGTTAAAATGCAGTGGGGCCATATGTGTCTTTTTTTTCCCCCACTGTGGATGCCAATATTTTTGAGATTGGAAGCCTAAATTTTTTGTTTCAAACCATTTCCTTTCCGTTTCTTTCCCTCTTACCACCGAAGAGTGCAAGGCCTTTCATGTACAGCAAGTTGCATGAAAAACATAATTTCAACTTTCCGTTTAACATGTTAGCTTTTTTGCAGATGTCCTTTTCCCAAAAGGGTTTGGTAGAGTTAGTTAAAATAGTTGCGGAGTTCAGAGATATAAATAGCAAAGAGGAGAGAGATTTAGGTAGAAGCTTTGGAGGGGAGGGGAAAGGATGTAGAGAGAAAACCAGTTTGGAAATAAATTTAGCAAGGAATAGGGGTGACAGGGGAGAGAGAAGTAATGTAATTGCTTTGAGAATTCTTTTTGTACATGTTGGTGTTGCTAAGTCTTTTCCTTCATGTAGTAGAATGGGTTCCAGATTTAGATTCAGTGTCTTTCTCCCTAGAGTCTCAGGACGTTTTCACCATTTCGTTCTCAGTACTTGCACGTGAAATAGAAACATTCCGAGATTAGACCAGTTTACCGTGCTGTATTCATTACTTAGAGAATTAAACCATTTGAAAAAGTTAACGTGTCGGATTGACTTACGGTTTGCTATAAAACAAGTTGCTTGTTGGCCGTGTTTAATGATGAAATGAGATTAAAATTGTTTTGCACGAGATGACATACTAGCGAAATGAATTATTTGCCAGGTCCTTTGGAGTGGAGGGCTGAGGTGAAGGGAGGCAGAACAGGCTTCCTTTGACAGTCTCTTTAGCAGCATTCATTTTGGTTTCTTTTCCTCTCTGTCTGGAGCCAGTGATTTGCTGGTAATGAATGCAAAGAAATGGGTGTAGTGTTTGCTGTGTGTGCACTTTGGTGATAGGGTTCATATGAATCATTACTCCTCACCCAGGCAGTAATGTTCCCGAAGTTTTCTCTCCGTTCTATGTTTCATGGTAGTTTAACCTTATTAACTCTTCTGCAGGTTTTTTGTACACTTAAAAAGAAAACTCTTTAACTCTTGGTATTTACACTTTTCTGGTAGGTCTTGCCTGAGTGTAAGCCTTTTAAGATATTTGAGAGGAAGGGAAGTTTGTGAACAGATGTATGATGACCACAGAACATACGCCTTTAAAGATTTCATACCTGGAACCTTTTTTTCTTTTTAATACAGTACTAACTATTGGGGACTAACCTTTTTCCAAAGTGGTGCTTTTGGTGGTGGTTGTATGTGTGGGCAAAACTAAGCTGTTAGTGTCATGATCATGCCAACCGTGGATTGTTTACGAGAGTCAACATGAGCAGAACTCAGTTTTAATTGGTATGTTTTCTTTCCAGGAGCTGGAGGAGGGAATGATATTCAGTGGTGTTTTTCTCAGGTGAAAGGAGCAGTAGATGATGATGTAGCAGAAGGTAAGAAAGCATTTAATAATGCAAAATTTGGATATATAATTTTTTCAGAAATCTTTCCTGAGGGATTTCCTTGAAGCCAAGACTATTAAAAATTCAAGATGATTTTGTGTTTATTGTCCAAGAAATGTAAGAACAGTTTTAAAAGTTACGTTTCTGAAATACAGCCTTAAGTTTCTTTTGTAATTTATGCCTTGTTTTTATTTTTTACTCTGAATTTACGTGAAAGGAGCGATAGATGATTAGACATATAGAATCGTCACATGAAAGCTCTGAGCTCCATATAAGGGTTTCTTTGTTATATAAATTCCACATAGAAATAAATGGTGATGCATTTTTGTGTTTGTACATTGTTTTTAGATAAGTAAATTGAAATAGGTGCCATCAACATTTGGCTCAGAAACATTCTTAGCAGCATCTCTAATTTTTATGGGAAGATTCTTAACCTCTCTTGACTTTGCCTGCTGTGGAATGTAGTGCTGATTGGCATAGTCTGTGAAGAGATGACAGCTCACATTATTCATTTTGTTGTCTTTCTGGTGATTAGGTGGTTAAGACAGTAACTGCTATGCATATATCGCTTGTCTTCTAGAAAGCTTCTATTGCTGGTGCAGGTAGAAACTGTGTTTGATCAATTGAAGTACTTATGTCTAATTTTCTCCCCAAATTTGTTGACTGATGTGTTTCAGAAGTTTTATCTGAGTTTTGAAACTTCAAGGTTGTGCATTTATTTGAGATGGTCTTAGGCAGCAGAGGCATTTCCCATAAACTAGTTGCATTATTTCATTGCTCAGAAGTGTTAAAATTTGAGCTTTAATAGTATTCTGTGTCTTGAATTACAGTAGGAATTTTTCAAACAAAACTCAGATAAATTTAAACATGTACTTTTTGAGTTTTAAAAATTTGGTGAAAATGCACAAACTTTTTCCCCCTAGATTGTGTTGTCCTCATATTTCTGACCTGTCTGTAGAGTACTGTTTGTTTTGGAGATTTTTTTTCAGGTGGTGGGTGGTAGGAGATGGCTTTGCGTCTAGCCAGCCAAATGCGTTTATTTGCTTGTGTCAGTGTCATTCATAATGAAGTGTCTGTTTTAGAGTGTGGTGAATCCTATGGGAAGCCAACTAGCATACGCTATATTTGTCATATTTTGCAGAGCTCTCATGTTCTTTTCCTGTTGGATCCTCATCTGTTTCTTAGACAAGAAACCAGTAACAAAAGAGACTGACTGATGGTCATACAAATAGTATAAATCAAGGTTTTCTGGTGAAGTCAGTGGTGTTTGACTTGTTTAGAGAAATAAGTCCCAACTTCAGGGGAGGAGTTGTGTATTACTCATGTTGGAACTCCATTACCTGTTGAATAGTAGACACTCCAGTATTGGATCGTTAGTTCTGCGCTGTTGTGTAATACCAAGTTTTGAAAGCACTGTATACTTGGAAACTGTTCTTTGGTTGAATTCCATTTACTCCCTTAGGAAAGGTCCCTTAAATGCTGAGCACTGAGGATACTTGTCTAGAACATGAACTCTGCCCACAAGGAGCTCATAGTTTGCTTGTTAAACATTAGGCGGAAAGACCACATGGCTTTTATTTAATCAGAAGAAATTGATATTTCAAACTGAACATCATTTAACTGAACCAAATAACTTATGATACACAGTAAGTCCTCACTTAATGTTGTCAACAGGTTCTGCAACTTTAAGCAAAGAAAGCAGCTTAAAACAAAATCATTTTTGTCAATACAGTAACAAAAGATGCTGAGCAGAAAGCCACGTTAAAGTTTTCAAGAACCTATTGGCCATGTAAAGTTAGGAGATAAATCAGTTACAGTTTCCCTTTGCTGATACTTAGTAGCTGCATTTTTCTACTGATTCATTAAGTAATTTTCTTTTGAGGTTGTTAAATATTATTTTAACATAAGCATATTTTTAACATCCTAAAATGCTGATACTTGGTATATAAATATATATTTTAGTAAAAAAATTTATCTTAGTAAAAATAATGTACTTATTCTAATAGCTAGTGCTATACAAATGTATTAAGTATCAAGATCAAATTTTCAAATGACACCACTTTAACTTGGGTGTTTTTGCATGCTAGTTTGCATATTATAGTCTTGTTTATTTTACTAAGGGAAGCTTTGCTTTTCTGAAGTAAAATAAGATTATTAACACATTTCCCCCCCATGTTTAGACAGGTCTCTTAAACAGGTTACATGTAGGTCAACTTTTTACTCGCCCGTTTTCTGTTAATGATATATCTTGATTGTCTCCATATTGTCTGTCTTTCTCCCATCTACATGCAGTCAGCTGCCAGGGCATACCACTTTTACTCTGTAATGCCTTGATCTTCTTTGCATACCTGCTTTCACCTCTGTTTGGGTTTGTACTCTTTCTCCTCTGGATTGCAGTAACTTCCTAAATTATTCCCTGCTTCTTCATCCTATGTTTTGCTTCTGAGTTAATCTTAAATGCAGTCCCAGTTTTGTCATTTTTCCCATAAATCTACAGTGGATCACTGTCCACTGGATTAGAAGTTAAGTTCAAACATGTCAGTCTAGAATGTATGACCTTGGTCCAATATGGCCTCTCCTCTCAGTCTATTTGCTGCTCTGGCTAATGATCCAGCTAAACAGATACTGTTCTTCAAAGGCGTTCTGTGCCCTCTCACTTTTGAGTTTTCGTTTTTTGCTGCTTCCAACTTGGGATTTGGGATGCCTGACAGTCCTCCCACAGTTCTCTTACCTGGATCCTGCTTATCCTTCAAGTCATGCCTTTAACCTTTTTGCTTAATTCCCTCTTTTGGAAATACCTATTTTAAAAATCTTCTTTATAGCACTTCGTTGCATAGATACTATATTTTGCACCCCACATCTCTACTGTTAGATACTACAAACTTAGTGCAGGACTGATTTATCTTCATACCTTATGCAGGCATGAAACTGCTCTGTCTAGAACAAGGCCCGGCACACAGTAGTTGAGTATTGTTTGACTGAAGGAACATAAATGTTATTGTTCTTAGGTTTTGAAAGGGGATGAGAACTGGTAAAAGTCAGGATGATCGAGATGTACTTCTAGCAGTCATGGATTTATTTACTTGGTAGAATTTTTAAAACAAAAATTTTAAACACTCTCTGCAGAATCATTGGTAGGCTTTTTATAACTGGATTGATGATATACAATCGTATAATAAATGTAAATCAGATGACCTTGGGTTTTTACCCTAGCTCCAGCACAAACTAGTGTATGTCACTGGGGAACTGGGGATAAGTACACTCCCCTGGGTTCCTGTATGTTTAGCAATGAAAGAACAAGTCTGGATTAGGTGATTTCTGCTCTTTCTTTTACTCTAATCTTGTTAATTTCCAGTGGCATCTAAAAACAAACAAGCCAAATTCTTTTTTTTTTTTTTTTTTTTTTGAGCCGGAGTCTCACTCTGTCAGGTTGGAGTGCAGTGGCGTGATCTTGGCTCACTGCATCCTCTGCCTCCCCGGTTCAAGAGATTCTCCTGCCTCAGCCTCTTTGAGTAGCTGGGACTACAGGCGTGTGCCACCATGTCCGGCTCATTTTTGTATTTTTAGTAGAGGTGGTTTTCCCATGTTGGCCACGCTGGTTTTGAACTCCTGACCTCAATGGATCACCTGCCTCTGCCTCCCAAAGTGCTGAGATTACAGGCGTGAGCCACCAGCCACAAAAGTATTAGTACTGGTAAAAATTACTGGTAATTAACACTACCGGTAAGCTAAATTGTTTGAGATACTGGACTCTCTAGAAGCCTTAAGTGAAAAATAAATTATTACTAGTAATATATTTTATATTTTTAATTTTTCTTTTCTTGATAACTTTGTGATGAGACAGTAGGTAAGAGCACAGAGTCAGGTGCTAGGCTGCATGGTTTGAATCTTAGTCATTTATCAGTTGTGTGATCATCTCTTTGTGCCTGGCTCCCCTCTGCAAAATGAGGGTAACAATAAAACCTGGCTTACTGTTATTTTGATGATTAAATGAGTTTAAACACATAAAACAGAACAGTACCCAGCACAAAAGAATCTTACGAGGATTTGGATATTATTATTAAACTTTTATTTTATTCTTACTTTGAAGGGAGGAGTCTTTGGAGTATGAGTAAATTGGGGAATTGTCTTTAGAGCCTACTAAAAATTTCTCAAGGTGAAGGAAACAGCATGTATGTGTATTTTATACATATTCTTTGATTCTCCTAATAATAAATTATACATTAAAAACTAAGCTATAGGTTTAGAGACAGATACGAAGCTGGTAAAAGAAAAAACAGTACTGTAAAAAATACTATAAAAGTCAGTGTCCTGGCTACTTTTAAGCTGTTGCGAGGGAGGGAGTTGTGATTGGGAAGGCTGGGGAGGCATCTTAGGAGCTGACTTGACTGGGATGATGGTTGTACAGAGGTTTATAAAGACTAACGTGGACATTTTTGTTTCAATTTTTGGTTTTCTTTATCTGTCAAATTTCGTAATAAGAGGTTTTTAGTTAATACTGTAGTACAGGGTTTAGGATGAAAAATGGCAGTCCCCTAGCTCACCCACTCCTTAATCCCTATGCCATCTCCTAAGAGCAGTTGTTCCAATCTTCTGCTGGATTCCTTAGTGTGTCATTTCCTTTTTGGGAATAAAATGATATTTCTGTGTCTTATCAATTTTAGACATTTCCAGGTGACTTCCTCCTTGAGTAGCTGACGATTAAGCTGTTCTCATTGTCACCCCATTTCTCTCTCCATTGTGTCCGGTGTTACATCACACACTGTGGTTAAATTGGGTGTTAGTGCTTATGTTGTTGTGACCATGCCCTCATTCTCTACTGAACCTGTAGTGCTCAACAATGTTTATTTCATCTTTAAGAAAATACAGTAGTTGCTTGTTTATTAATTTGGCTACTATTTGTTTGTTTGTCTGTTTTTCCAACTTAATCATTCTGGAACATTACAGAAAGTATCTGTAATGGTATAATGGATGCCCATCACCCAGCATTG